GGCTTTGGTTGAAAGAAAATTTCAACTTTGGTTGTACGTTCTTTGAAGAGAGTTTTGACAGTGTATTAGTCTTCCAAGATTTGGCAGAGGTTCTCCTTTTATGAGAATTTCGGCCCTTCAACGTAGAAATTGTCGACCTTATGCTTGTCTTGGGACCTTGTATTTATAGACTTCCAAAGTCATGCCTTTGGGTGGATTTGGCTTTGATTTGTGTCTTGATTCATCCATGGGAGAATTTAGGCATGTTTTGTGTCTTAATTTCAGCCACTTTCCCTTGCTTGGCCGAATCATAGGGCTTGTTACCTATTTTGTGAGCAATCTTCAATTCTTGCTTGTTTTGAGAAGATGCTTAGCTTTTTTTCCTATTTTGGGAGCAATTTGGACCCCTTGCTGATTTCAAGGGATACTTTCTCCCTTTTGCCGAATTTTGGGAAGGTTGTGTACTTCCTTTGCTTGATTTATGCCACATGCCATTGATGACTTGTCAATTTGTGATGAGTCATATGCTATGTGAAGCTTTATGATGCATCATTTGCATGCAACGAAATTTACATGTCTACATACACACCTCACAATTATACATCTCTCTTTTTCTCTACTATTGTTGCACCCTTCTCTCTCTGTCATTTATATGATTCAGTAAATTAGGCCTACAATAGAAAATTTCTTTTCATATTACGTAAATATTAAGATACTTCTCCATTTTCCTATTTTATTATTTTTTCTTTTAATTTTAGAATGTTTTTGTTAGGTGCCAATGGCTATTCAATATTTGAAAAGATTTTAAATTAATTTCAATCTTTTAAAATAGGAAGGGAGTTTTAACGAAACACTCTCGACACTATTCACTTTTAACAAAAAACCACATTTTTACCTTTTCCTGGTACTATTCACCACACCTTTATTTGTCTTTTTTTCATTAAAACTAAAGTTTTTTTTTTTTTTGACTTTTCTTTAGTTTTCCTTTTAAAATATTATAGATAATTATTTTTAAATAATCTTTAAATATTGGATAGTTATCTGAAGTTATTATTTGTGTTGGATAATTCAATAAAGGCAAGACTTAATGGCGGCCTTACAATGAAAATGTTGGGTATTCGGTAATTGATCAACTGTCTGTTAGAATATAAGTGGTTGCTCATTGCGCAAAATATATTGGCAGAATTAGTTAGCCATTTGTGCTCCTAAAAGTGTGAGGGGATTGGGTTTCAGGAGCCTCTTGAATTATAATTTGCCCTGTTGGCTAAGCAATTCAGGCGCCTTATCTCCGAACCAACAACTTTCTGGGTCCGCATTCTCTATGGCCTCTACTTTCCATTTGGTGACACCCTCAATGCCATTAAGGGATCCACCGCCTCATGGGCTTGGAGTAGTATATTGCAAGGTCAAGCTCTCATTGTAAATGGGGCAAGATGGTAGATTGGAGATGGTAGAAAAGTTCATATTTGTCAAGATAAATGACTCACCTATACTACAGATGGTCTCCTACACCCTACCACTTTGATTTCCTGACAACTCGACTACAATTGTACGTGATATTACCTCGGTTGCTGACTATCGATGGAACCTTGGGCCTATGCGCAATCTTTTTTCTAACTCGGAAGGTGAGGCAATTGAATCAATACTTCTAGGGGATCTATCCACTCCTGATCGTCTTATTTGGTCATGGTCCCTTAATGGAGATTATTCAGTTAAATCTGGCTATGCCTTTGGTCATGCGATTAACTTGGACAATCACCTTCCTTTCACTTCATATGTTAATCAATCCTACACTATTGATCCTGCTTTCTGGTTTGGGGCATGGAAATTTTACCCAAAATCAAGTTTTTCTTTTGGAGGATTGCAAAGTGTCTACCCACTATGGAGGGCCTTTACCGTCGCTGTATCCGGGGTGATCCACTCTGTCCCATTTGTGAGCAATTCCCCGAGACGATCGAAAATATCTTATTCCATTGCCCTTAGACCTTAACAGTTTGGTTTGCGTCCAATTTAAATTGCCACATTGATCGCTAATCTATAACCACCTTTGATCGATAGTTATTGGCATTACCAAAGTTGGTGGATGGGAATTAAATATCCTTGACAAGAATTTTAAATTTAATCTCCTTCTTATGTTGGGAAATTTGGAAATCTAGATGTCATGGATGTTTCAACAACGTGCTACCATCCCTCTACAAAATGATGAAACTCGCGACAACGGCTGCCAACGATTTTTTCAATGCACGTCAAACTACCCTCGACCCAATGGGTTATGATGCCTCGTGGACGAAATCTTCTTCTCAATTGGGTCTCAGTGTGGTAGTCAAGGATGATTCTGGGGCCTTGATTACGTGTAGGGGAGCTAGGGGTGTTGTTGTTTCCCCATTGGACACTGAGTTCAATGGGGCATTCCTTGACATGGAGACGACTATGCAGAATAACCTCACCAGGGTTTTGTTCAAATCCGACTCAGCCAAGCTTGTTCTAAATATCAATGGTACGAAAAGTCAATCTTGATGGTCCATATTCCCCATTCTAATCCAAATTCATAGTATAAACCACTGGTTCCAGTTCTTGAAGTGGTTCTGGATTCTCCCCACCAAGCGAATTTTGCACCTGACTGGGTTGCCTCGCATTATAAAAGAAGGATGCGTTCGAAAGTATGGGTCCCTAGACCCTTATCTGCTCTTGTCCACATTCTTTCCATCGATGGACTACCTCACAAGGGTTTTTATGACATTGGTTTGATTAGGGTGGTGACTAAAGCTTTGCTTCAAGTCTTATATAGTTAGCATGCTTAAACCTTTTGACTATTTTGTTTATTTTTGAGATGTGCTATTCACACACCTTTTTAATTTCTGTCTTGCTCTATCCTGACCGCAGCTTGGTGTTGTCCTAGTCTTTGTCTTAGAGCAACTCCACTGTGTGGAGTAGCCCGATGGACCAGCTCAAGAACAAGGGGCAATAGCCCCATTAATGACATCCAGCCCATGCGGGTGATAACGCAGGAGGGGGCCCGAGTGAAAGGCCCGGCGAGAATCGGTGGCCCGAGGTGAAAGTGATGCAACGCTGACGTCAGGACGACGTCAGCCACATTCTAATATTTTTTTAGTCAGGCACATGGGGGCGTATCCCCAACATGTTTTCAGGCAGTGAGGCCCGCGACACAGGCTTGCGTAATGTTACCGTTGAAAGCCACGTGGCAGCTTCACGTCCGTTGGATTTCAACGGTTAATTTTTGTGGACTGTTGGATTTCCAACAGAAAAAAAAATTCAAACCTTCATTAATTTCAACCTTTGGATTTGAGATCAACGGTACACGTTATTAGCCTTTATAAATTAAAAAAAAGGAATAAGAGTTAAAATATCTGAAATATTACCATTGTGCCACGTGGCACAATCTGGAGGGTTGGATTTCAAAATTTTTTTAATCCAATTGGTAGAAATTAATTAAGTTAATAAAAATGTTAAAAGATTAAAAAAAAATGATTTTACTTTTCTATAAATACCTTCTCATGAATAATGATAGAGATTTTGATTTTGGTGAAGAAGGAAGTAGAAACTATGAATAATAGAGATTTTGATTTTGGTGTGTGATTTCTGGTTCTAGATGGTGGGTTATATGGAGGAAAAAGAAAGGATTAGGTTGTCGATAATGTCACGTGGCATGCCGTCATTCGTTAAAAACTGATCAAAATCTATCTTCAAAGATTGTCTTCAAATTGTGACACGTGGCGCGACGTAATTGATTAAAAATCTTATCGGAAATCTATGCTTAACGATTCTGAAAAGGTAATTACACGTGGCACGAGGGTATTGGATAAATATCTTATCGAAATCTATCACAAAAAATTGTTTTCTCGAATAATGACACGTGGCGCAACAAGAATGATTAAAAATCTTATCCGAAATTACAAGTAAAATTATTTTGTATATTTTATAAAATAAAAAATACTAATATTTTATTGCATATTGCCATGACTATTCAATGTAGGGGTGGAGATGCAAAATGCAGTTACTGTTCATTGGAGGCTATTCAATAGTGACTTGCCCTAGGGGGCCTTTGCAATGATGGAGTTGCTCTTATGCTTTGGAGCTTATGTCTCTCCCCTTTATCAATGAATTCCTCTTTTGACCCCCAAAAAAAAAAATAATAAAGGTGGTTGCTCAATAAGTAAGTAAATTTAAGTAGTAAATATTTAGGGTAAATTACATTGTACCACCTCATGTTTAGGGTCTATTACAATCGCATACAACATCTTCAAAACATTTTACTTTACCACCTCATGAAATGGCAATTTATTTCAATATAGTACCTTCGTTATATTTTTCATCTATTGATCCGTTAAGAGCTGATATGGCTACCAAATTTGTGCCACGTGGCAATTTTTTTTATTCATTTAAAAATAATTAATTAAAGAAGAGTTATAAAATATATATATATATATATAAACCATAACCCATCTTCTTCCTTAAGACCCCCCCTCCCCCACCCAAAACCCAAAAAAACCCAGCTGTTCAACCCAAAACCCCAAAATCAAAAAGGGGAATTGAATTCCCAAGACAAAATGAGGGAGTGGGGGTTTTTGGAAAGGCATAGCCAAGACAAAATGAGGGAGTGGGGGGTTTTTGGAAAGGCATAGTAAAGGGAATTCTAAAGAGAGAGAGAGAGAGAGAGAGGAGAAGTGGAATGCGAGGAGAAAGCAGTTACAAGACCCGACCCGTCTTCTTCTCCTTATCTCCGTGGGGGCACCTCTGTGTGTCTTTTGCAACTCTCGCTTCCCAAAAAAAAATTTGCCACGTGGCACAATTGTGGCAGCCACATTAGCTTTTAACATATCAATGGATGGAAAATGTAACGGATGTACTATATTGAAATAAAATAGTAAGTAAGGTATGAAAGTGAAATGTTTTGATAATATTGTATGTGATTGTAATAAATATCAAATATGAGGCAGTACAGTGTAATTTACCCAAATATTTAATTCAGAATTCAGGAATAAAAAAAGTTTTGCTTTCTCAAACAACAAAGACCTCATTTGGTCCCAAGTCAACATCATCAACCTTGAGATCTAATTTCATAGGAAAAAGAAGACCCAGGATATTTTTCTCTGCTCTCTCTGGATTCTTTCTAGTTTCCCACTTTGTTCAAGTAGTAGTCGAGCAACAATATCAGTAGCAAAACCCAGGAATTTGAGCACAAATTCATGCTCCAGATGTTTTTAGGTAAGTTTTTTCTTTGATTTTTCTCACTTTTTTCCGCTTCTGGGTGGTGAAAGTTTTGATTTTTTTATCGCATTTAGCAAACCCATGTCTGGATTCTTAAACTGTGGTGGTTAATGTGGTTTTTAGGTGAATTTTTCAAGTGGGTTTTGGACTCTGATATGCGTGTTTTGAGTTGTTTTGGTTGGTTCATTCTGTTTTCCAAAATGGTCTAAGTCATTCGTTTCTGTTGTCAGTTCCTGGTTGTCTCATTTCCAATTAGCTCTGTTAGTATTTAATGAATTTTATTGTAGTAAGTTCAACTGTGTATTGCAATACATTCTGAATAAAAAAATAGTTAAGGGTTGCCCACACAGCGTGGGCGAGTAGTATTGAATTATGCACATTCAGCCGTTGACAGCGGATTTTTCTTGAGATGATGAATGTATAGCACTATGAAAATAAGTGTAAATCCAAACTGTTTTAGTCCCAATTTGTGCTGAAGTTCTTTTGTTTTCATAAATGTTCAAGCGGATGTATTACTGCTGTGCCATATAGGTCAGCGTGGCTGTGGCTGTGAGCCTGTGACTTGTATCTGGTTGGGGTTTATTGGATATCCCTAGGTTTCATTTTGTTAACTGCAGCATTTTCTTGGAGAGAATAATGAGAATGAGGAACAAATACAGGATACTAACCACTTTCCATTGCAATGCAGGGAACATCTGTTCAACGTCTGTGGTGGTGTGGAGCTTGGTGGGATGTCTTCTTATGTTTCATCTGTACACTCTTGTTCAGCCAAAGGATAGGTTGGGAGGAGAAATTCAAGTCCGAGTGAGTCATTACCCACAGTTCCATGAACTTGAACAGGTGGAAGAGGAAAACATCCAAATTCCTCTGAAGAGAAAGCGACCCCCACATGCTGCAAAAAGAAAACTAAGGCGACCAACTCCTCTGATTGATGAATTTCTTGATGAGAATTCTCAAATTAGACACGTATTCTTTCCCCTGAAGCCTGATATTGATCCAATGAAGGACACAGGAAATGACAGCTACTACTATTTCCCTGGAAGGATTTGGTTGGATACTGATGGAAATCCTATTCAAGCCCATGGAGGTGGTATTTTATTCGACGAAAAATCAAGGACATACTATTGGTATGGAGAGTATAAAGATGGGCCCACATACCATGCTCACAAAAAAGGAGCAGCTCGGGTAAGTGATTTACTTCCTCTGAATAGTCATACGCTCAACTATGGTTTTGATTTAAAATGTCAGTCCTTACGGCTTGTTAGGGATGAAAATGCTATTTTCCACACGTTAATTGTTTGCTCTCTTTACAACATCGGGGTTACGTAGTTGATGCTAAATATAGATCTTAATTGCATCTGTGATTTCTCTGTGAATAACTTAACCTTGAAATCCAAGTTTATATCTATGCTAACCTAAAGGAAGCTAATTTAGAGTGTTGCCTTCATATTAGTTGATATCAACTATGGATTATGGAATTACAGCTGCTGTTCAGGTTACTACTTCTATTTTGTATTTGACTTTATTCCCCTACCTTGTACATACCTTACCAACTTATAACAATTACATAGGTGCGGTGGGATAGTAGAAAATTAAAAATGAAAACCATTTACAATTGCACAATACCAAAGAACCAAAGTTCAGGGGACACAATAGTCTCTGGTGATCCCATATTTGTTGGTTCTTGAAGTAAAAATTGCATTTAGGGTTGGCAGCATAATTGGCATGTTATAGTCTTGACTGTATTTCTATTAGTAAGATAATGACATGGAGTAAGAAAGAAATTTACCCTAGTCGGTTAGTGAATATGTTACTTCAACAACTCAACAACTTCAACAACAACAACCAAGCCTTATCCCACTAAGTGGGATCGGCTGTATGAATCCTAAAACGCCACTGCGTTGGGTTTTGCGCCAAGTCTTCCGTTAGCTCCAAGTACTCCATATCTTTTACTAAAGTCTCTTTCCATATCTCTATCCAAGTCTATTGAATTACTTCTATTTACAAAATACAGTGACACCAAGACAGATGATCATGAAGAAAAAAATATACTAATATTATGAAGTAGTTGCAGAGCAGCAATTAGAAAACATATCGCACTAAGGAATTAAAAAATAGACCTAAGATGATGCAAACGCTGCAGCAATTCGCAATGGGCCCTTAGGGCCACCCCTGATATCCACCTAAGTCTTAGGCTGCATCTGATAATGTGCTATCACTTTTAACAGTTTCTAGTAACACTTTCAAATGGTATGTTTTGAGATGTAGGATTTCTTGTGTAAGTATCTCCTGTTGATTAGAGCCTTTCATGTGAATAGTATAAAATCATCCACTTGGCTAATCCTGATGAGAAAGTGTTTGAGTAGCCCTAAAGTTCAGTTTCAGGGTTTAGGATTCAAACAGTATCGATATATTAAAGATGTAGCAAGCAACTTCATGTAGGCTTATGGATTCACTAACTGTAAATCATTTACCTAAAAATCAATAGGCCTGCATGTTTTGCTGGGCTGAGAATATTTTGTAATACCATGCTAGAATTTATGCCACCTGGGTTTTAATTTGCCTTCTGTATTCATGTTGGAATCTGCACAAAAGGTGCAATCTTCTCCTTCGTAGGTGAGAACCGTGTAAGTGAAAGATCTGTCGGATTTGCTAGGTAAAGTAGGTGATTGTGGATCAAGGCCTTTAAAGTGCAAAGACAACTATCTGACCAAAAAGTGGGATCCGAAAACTCCATTCCCTTCAAGTTGGAAAGCATAGAACTTTTTGGTATTAATTCGCTTTGCGTCCACTAAAAATGACATATTGTATTGTTCTAAAAAAAAATAAAAAATAGAAGAGCTTTAGTTGTTCAATATGGATTTTGGGGGTTGAAAAGTTGGTGTATGAAATTGACGGTTCACTTATTTTAGTGAGGGGTATGGTGTTTTTTCTTTTTTTCAGCAAGTGTTGCTAGATTTCCAGTAAGCCATGTGTTGCTATTCTAGACTTCATTACGTAGCATTATAATTAGATGCATACTTTTATTCACCATTGCTGCACTTATGAGTCCTTTTTAATTCATCTGTTTTTCTTTTCGGCCGGTATTGTCTTTTATATAGGTTGACATCATGGGAGTGGGTTGCTATTCTTCCAATGACTTATGGAAATGGAAAAATGAAGGTATTGTATTGGCAGCAGAAAAAGAAAATAAAACACATGATCTCCACGAATTCAATGTTCTTGAGAGGCCGAAAGTGATTTACAATGAGCATACAGGGAAGTACGTTATGTGGATGCACATTGATGATGCTAACTATACCAAAGCTTCTGTTGGCGTTGCCATTAGTGATTACCCAACTGGTCCTTTTGACTATCTCTACAGCCAACAACCCCATGGATTTGATAGTAGGGACATGACAATCTTCAAAGATGATGATGGTGTTGCTTATCTAATATACTCCTCGGACCACAATAATGAACTTCATATTGGACCATTGACTGAAGATTACCTTCACGTGACGAACATCATGAGAAGAATTTTTGTGGGACAACGTCGGGAAGCCCCAGCTCTATTCAAGCATGAAGGAACTTATTACATGATTACTTCAGGCTGCTCCGGATGGGCTCCTAATGAGGCACTGGCGCATGCAGCAGAGTCAATCATGGGGCCATGGGAGACCATGGGAACCCCCTGCGCTGGAGGGAACAAAGTGTCTCGACTTACTACATTTTTTGCACAGAGCACATTTGTGCTTCCTGTGCCGGGATTTCCTGGTTCATTTATCTTCATGGCAGATAGATGGAACCCGGCAGACTTGAGAGACTCAAGATATGTATGGTTGCCTTTGATAGTAGGGGGGACAGCTGACCGGCCCCTCGATTACAAATTCGGGTTCCCGCTGTGGTCAAGAGTGTCAATATATTGGCATAGAAAGTGGAAACTTCCTCAGGGGTGGAGCGGGTGGAAACGAATATAGGGTCTCTCTTATATCATCTGTGTATCTTACGTATGAAGGCCATGGATATTCTTTCACTGGCTTGCCATGGTGGTGGTGGTGTTACTGTAAATGAAGAGCATATAGTCGACTTGCACGCAGAAGAAACGAAGACGAGTTTGTAGAATGTTTCCGTCTCAAGCACCGCCGGTCAACCTCTCTTAGCTTTGAGGAAGAGTGCTTGCGGAAACAGATTGCTAATCACATAATTTTTTTTCTAATATCACTTGATTTCGTCATTAGTTCAAGTTCTTATCCAAGTGTCTGAAGATTTTCCTTTGATCCTTTTTTTTTCCAGGTAATTTGAAATTGTAACATGTCCCAGAATATGAAACAAAATGAAAGATTAACAGGCAATCGTAGCACGTTTGGTGTGTCCTTTAAAATTCAAGAATACTAAGATTTGACCTTGGAAGAAAGGAATGCCAACTTTTTAATACAACGTATTGTAGGTCCAAAGAATAACGTGTTTCCATAAGTTAAGATTGTGCAGAAGGAGAAAAGGGATGTGCCGAAATTATTTTCCGTAAATTTTGTCACCTTGCTAGTTGGTATTGTGCTAAATTTTTTCCGAAAGTTGAAAGGTAGCCTCAAATTCAAATCTGCTCCTGAGTTGAAAGCTTTCCTGTGCAAGTATTACGGGATGCTTTGTTGTTAGACGTCAATGTGATTTCCATTATTGTAAGTGTATGGTACGCCTAGCGTTGGAGGACTTATATGGTAAAGTGGTGTCCCGGACCAATTAAATAAAAACTTGTAAGTTTTTGTCCACGTTTCATTTGTAAGGAACACCATGCGGCAATGCACCCGTCCTTAAACTCGAGTTTGAATCGAGCAGTTACCAAAAATAATAAGTTGCTATCGATTAGTAAGGGAAACCAACATTTTTGATACAGTGATATATTTACTAAGGGGCAGGGTAATAAATATGTATCAAACTCGTCAAGTGAGTGAAGCGAAATACCAAATTCTAGTCAACTGCATTACCAAATTTGCCCCCACGTCGAAGACTGGCTCTCTCTATACCATTACTACAACAACAACAACAATAAAGCCTTTTCCCACTAAGTGGGGTCGGCTATATGAATCTTAGAACGCCATTGCGCTCGGTTTTGTGTCATGTCCTCCGTTAGATCCAAGTACTCTAAGTCTTTTCTTAGGGTCTCTTCCAAAGTTTTCCTAGGTCTTCCTCTACCCCTTCGGCCCTAAACCTCTGTCCCGTAGTCACATCTTCGAACCGGAGCATCAGTAGGCCTTCTTTGCACATGTCCAAACCACCGTAACTGATTTTCTCTCATTTTTCCTTCAATTTCGACTACTACTTTATCTCGGATATCCTCATTCCTAATCTTATCCTATCTCGTGTGCCTACACATCCAACGAAGCATCCTCATCTCCGCTACACCCATTTTGTGTACATGTTGATGCTTCACCGCCCAACATTCTATGCCATATAGCATCGCCGGCCTTATTGTCGTCCTATAAAATTTTCCCTTGAGCTTCAATGGCATACGATGGTCACACAACACGCCGGATGCACTCTTCCACTTCATCCATCCAGCTTGTATTCTATGGTTGAGGTCTCCATCTAATTCTCCGTTCTTTTGCAAGATCGATCCTAGGTAGCGAAAACGGTCGCTCTTTGGTATTTCCTGATCTCCGATCTTCACCCCTAACTCATTTTGGCCTCCATTTGCACTGAACTTGCACTCCATATATTCTGTCTTTGATCGGCTTAGGCGAAGACCTTTAGATTCCAACATTTCTCTCCAAAGGTTAAGCTTCTCATTTACCCCTTCCTGAGTTTCATCTATCAACACTATATCGTTTGCGAAAAGCATACACCAAGGAATATCATCTTGAATATGTCCTATTAACTCATCCATTACCAACGCAAAAAGGTAAGGACTTAAGGATTGTTGATGCACAAAATCAGTGAGGACTTTGGTACAACAAAAAGTATTAAGTTTGTGATCTTCGCTAGATTGCTCTGGTCATTAGTGTGGATAAGTATGTAAATGGATAGAGATAGGAAAGCAAACACAAGATGTACGTGGTTCACCCAGATTGGCTACGTCCACGGAGTAGAGGAGTTCTCATTAATTGTGAAGGGTTTACACAAATACATAGGTTCAAGCTCTCCTTTAGTGAGTACAAGTAAATGATTTAGTACAAATGACATTAGGAAATATTTTGGGAGAATGATCTCCTTTTATAGAAGAGAGTTTCTAGCCTTGTTCTGACATTGACACGTATCGTGTTGTGATTGGCTTCCGATGTTAGCACGTGTCGCGCTATGATTGGCTTCTTATGTCAACACGTGTCGCTCTGTGATTGGCCTCCTGGTTGGAGAAAAATTCTTCTGGGTCCTTGACGGTGTAACGTTGACCGATGCTCGGTAGTTTCGGTATTGGTCAAGTATGGTACAAACAGTGCTCATCTAAGTTCTCGAGTGAGGGAAGCTCCTCGGTTGGGGACTTGCAAGATCCAAACCGTTGAGTAATCACGAAACTTCTAAGTACCAAAGTGTGGTATCGTCTTCACTTGCCTTATCTGTCTCATAGGTAGATGTGGCATCTTCTCTGGAAATACTCTTCCTCCATTCAGGAGTGGTATTTTTAACTGGTGGAGATGCACAAGGTAATGTATCAATTTCACTTGAAGCTTACTTGTAGTTTCAGGCTTGGTCAAGCGCGATACAAACCATGTAGTAAGAGTCCCCCAAGTCGCCGAGCTAGGAGATCTGCTGAAAGAGGTGACAGATAAGGTAAGCAATTAGAGCTCCAAGCAATTAGTCTCAGATCAGAAGTTTGATTTCGAGTTCCGGCTGATTGTTCTCATTCTTCCTATCTTGCAGGCAGCATGAAGGATAAAGAGAATAAAAAGAGAAGAGATGATATGAGATACTTTTGCTTTTGAAGAAGTAACTTTCCACATGCTTATTCTTGAACTGTGCTGGAGGGTTTTCTGGTTTCCTCCAAAGTATAAGGCCGATTGAAGAATTTGATGGTCAAAACAAGTCCATCAAATCTAGAGTACGTTCGACCCTGCTGATATGGGATACTTTTGCTGTTGACAAAGTAGTGGATGTATCGGCACGTGTTCTGTAACGCTTGTCTCCACATACTTCCTTGTATCCTTCTCACTTGCCCTATCTGTTCCTCAGGCAGATGTGGTATCTTCTCTGGAAGCATAAGATGTTGAAGATGAGTACTCGAGAGCAATGCCAGGTAAGTAATCAGGTAAGGGGTTCCAGGCAGTCAGTTTCTGAGGCTCTACCGACTGATGAGACTTCTCCTAAGCAACATTTGTGAAGGCTCCATCTTGTTTGTTTATTTTGACTTATGTACATGTACATATTTGTAACTTATCGGAGATATCAATAAATAAGCTTTGCCTCATTTCAACGTATTGTGTTAAATACACCAAAGCCTTCTTCACTAAGTTCTTTGAATTTTTCTTTTGTTGAAGCTTGTATGTTGAAGCTTTGTAAGTAGAGCATGTAGGTTGAGGTAGTGTTCCCTTAATTTCCCGAGTGAGAAAAACTTCTCGGTTGGAGAGTTGAAAACTCTAAGTCACTGAATGGGATCAGCTATATAAATCTTAGAACGTCATTGTGCTCGGTTACTACTACAAAAAAATTTATAATACACAGAAAATTAATTTTGATTGGTTATTGCAGTCCAAAATATTATGAATAAATATTTGAGAGAAAAGTAAACAATTAATCCAAGAACTTTGTGATGCACATAAAACATTGATCTCTGAACTCACATCCACCCTTATTACCATCCACCGAAGGTAAACAACTAGTATATCACAAGAACGAGGAAATACGACTTCATCCAGTCATTTACACATTTCGACTAGAGTGTTCATGGAATTGGCAACCAGCAAATTCCCAAGGATACATGAAAACTTCTTCTGTATGGGACTGGATCAGATCCTCTTGATTTTTGAAAATGTTCCCGTCTCAGAGAAGTAGGTGCTTTGAGCTCCACCGCCAAGCTGCTGCGCATGAGCCTGTGGATTTGAAAGCTCAATACCCTGCAGGAAAAATGACGATTGTTATTGAGTATGAGTTTCCAAACAACTTTCTGTGTCACTTAAGCTTTGGAACCAATGCATTTGTAAATAAGAGAGAACTCAAGTGCAAGGTAAGACGTCAAGTCAACCTGCACAGGCGTAAACGCCAAACTTGAAGTTAGTCCAGATGTAGCACCACTGCTTCCATAATTCTTTTCCTTGAACCTGACAAGAATATGCAGCTCATGATATCAGCGAAGGTCCATCTCATACTATGACCAATAAATAGTATAAATCAGCACAACTCAAAGATAAATGACGGAATTTTCTAGCATGGTCCAGAGTATATTCTATAAACCACGGTTTTTGGCCGTTATATCCTTGGTCAATGATCCAACGACCGAGATATAATGGCCATTAAGAAGCAAGGATATAACGGCCATAAAGGAGCATTGTAAAATTTTTGCATCAATGAAAACCACTTTAAGATTGACGACAGTTCACTTAGAAATAAAAGAAAAACCATAACTAAAGAAAGGTAGGAAAAGCTTACTTCTTAGCAACTTTTGCAGCAAGTTTGCTCTGACCCATTGATACACGCAGCTTGCCACTCCCAGCCTGACCAAGCATTCCATACCCTTCACCCAGTCCATCCCCTATTATCAAGGACGACAACAGAATGAGAATTAAGATATAGCAATAGTAACATATTCCATGCAATTGCACAGATCCCAATCCTTCATGTAAATGGGGCTCACATATATAGCAATAGTAACATATTCCATGCAATTGCACAGATCCCAACCCTTCATGTAAATGGGGCTCACATCATCACCACCTTAATGAACAAGTGAGCTACCCATACAGTAGGTGAGAGGATGTACATGATAATGTAGGTGAGAGGATCTCCTTCCCCTCCCTTTATTTGGCCATGTAGATTTGAATAATACCAATCTAAAATTCAAATTTACTAACATAAGAGAAAATTACCTAACGAACTCTCTTCTGGTATACCAAATTGCATCCTGTTTGCCAGTTTCCTCATGTCCGTTATCGCATACCTGTATTAGTAAATATCAGTACATGCATAAACAATTACTGAGAAGTATAAAACAATAGAACAATACACTACCTTTCCTTCATCTTTCTTAGTCGGCGACCACCTCTCTTCTTTTTAGGTTCAGAATCAGGAACTGGAAGTGGTTTAGGTTGCTTTGCAGGAGGAGGCTCCTGCCATTTCTCAATTTTCTTACGAATCTCTTCCCGGAATGCCCTTCCAGTGTTCCCAGATGGATCTCCTCTTGTGGAATCCACCCGTGCTGCAAGTGTTGATTTTGCAGCCAAGAGCCGACAAGCACGCATCCTCAATGAAGGAGGTGTAGATTGAAATATTTCTGTCTGCTCAACATAACCAACGCGGAAGTGTGATGTTGCAGTGGAAAACCCAGCAAGGTTTTTTCTCTTAGCACCAAGAAGCTGAACATTACAAGCTGGCATCTTAGCTAAGGATGTGAGACCCCCAGCCGTCCCCATAAGTTTTGCCGCAACAGCACTACCAACAATAGCAGACAGATTTGGCGCAATAAAGCCCATTCTACTTTCAACAAAATCAAGCACCATCTTCTTTGCTGAATCAAGAGCAAGGGCTCGATCGCATGCCTCAACTATTTTCGCAAGGACGTCCTCTGGAAGCGGCTTGCCACTTGTAGTTGATGCTGTAACTGACACAACCATAATAATTGCTGAAGGTAGAAGCCCCTCCAGATCAACAAGGGTAACATCCATTTCATTTCCAATTTTCTTAACAACTCGAGCATAATCAATTGGATGATGCACAAGTGATTCCAGCTCCGGAAATTTTGGACGATACTTGTCCCGAATAAAATTATGGATGATTACAATTTCATTCTCAATGTCAACAGACAAAGCATTACAGTCCACAATCAGCTGGTATTCCGGATCATCTTCCAAAACTATTGCATGATTTGACATATCAGAACCCTTCTCCAATGCACCTTCCACTTTCTGCAATTTAAACACCGTATTACCATTACATACATGCCAATATGCACATTCCAGGATAAACAATAGAAAACGAAGTGGTGGGGAAACATAGAAAAGTACTGACAACCTAAAGACTAGAAAGGACAAAATTGCGTAGAAACTTAAGTCATGAGATATACGAAGCACATGTATCAGCATGATGAAAAATTTAAAATACTTAGCCCAAAGTTCCCCTGCCACGCATCAACGAAAATGATAAGAAATAAGAAGCTACGGACAAAGTGAAACAATATAGCAATGAAGCTTGTACACAAAATAACATTAAGATATCAATACTAATACTGCACAAAGAAAATAAGGCATTCATATATTACAAACCTGTATTATATCTGTATATCTTTGTGATTTCTGCAATTTTGAAACACTGTCCAGATCATCGTAATTAAGTGTTTCTAAATCAGCCAAGTCCCCATCAACATCTTCTTCCATATTTCCAGCATCAGCATCATCTTCAACCTGAAGAGAAAAAAAAATTATAAGATGACTTATAGTGGAGATATTGAGAGAGATATGATTTTAACATCTCCCTGAATAGCCTCTATGGTCATATTTTCCCATACGAAAGGCAGATATTACTCACAATTATATCATCTTCATTGTCAGATAGTTCATCAAGGTCTGCGAGAAATGAATCAGCAAGTGTCGCCTGCAATTACACCATAAATACGTCAAAAAACATTCATGCTTGCTCTAAAATTTGTTATAGCACAGAAATACAATTCGCAATGACTACAGAACAAATAAACAACTCACCATTCTTTCAGGTTCAATACCCCCAAGCTTCCAACAGTTGGTGCCGAATCAATCTGAAAATCAAAACTCAGCACTTCAGATACTCCCAAAAATATACGGAAACTCTAATGAATTACAAAGATAATGGAAAGGGGAAATAGCAACAGCCAACAGGACAGTGAAAGGAAATTTTAAGCACCAGATGAAATTTTACTACTATTCCAGTGGTTCAGTCATAAGAATTTCTACTCAAAAATGGTTCTAACAAGGAAAATGGGAATTCGGAAAGCACGGTTTGTTTTCAATCTAACATATTTCAGAAAGAAAAAAAAATCAACCCTAATACATAGCAAAGTCCAGCAAGATTAGTTTGATACAGGAACACAACGTGTCAGCATTGTTAAACCGCAATTAATCCAACAAAAACCACTAATCAGTCCCTATTTCTGACCACACAATTCATAAATTAAGAACCCAAAATCAAAAACAAAAAACCAATCAGAAAACCCTAATTGGTGATTATATTTCATAGCTGGAAAATAAAATAAAGGACCAGGCTTTTAGTACCAAAATGCTCACGGTCATCAGATTCTCAATTTCAAAGGCACCAAAAAAACCAGAAACAGAAATTGAAAGAACTTAAATTTGATAAATTACTGCTTAACAGAAAATTCAGAAATTAAACCCTAAATTAGGCATACCTGCAGGAAGGGAGCTGATTGAAGAACAAAGTGGGGTTACAATCGGATTTGAAAGCAAAAGAGAGAAAGAGGGGTGAGCCGCTGGGGCGAGTTAACGAAGAAATTACAGGCGAATGAGAAGCAGAAAAGGATTAGAGGAAGAAGATGAAGAATGAGGGTTGGGACTTGGAAGTGTGGTGCAACCGTGCAAGGGAAAAAAGAAGCGGGTGAAATCGGACGCAGACAAGGGCCGTGGGGGAAAGTGGGCCGGGGAGGTAGTCAAACTTTTGTTTTTGGGCTTTGTCAGGCCGGCCCGTTTGAAGAAGTGGTTTTGTATGATAAAATAATCAAGTGGAAATCTAACAGTTAATACTTCAGTGTTCGTTTTGTTTCGGACACAAAATATATTTTATTTTAAACTAACGTGAACTGTAGAGCAATAGATTCCAACTTTGGTGCAAAAAGGAATATATTTACTCTTGTCGATGTTAATAGGCTAATGGCTATGGTTATTGTTTGTACCGATGGCCTGCTGAATGCCTGAGCTTGTTGCCTTTGTACGTACACATTGTGACCAGTGGTGGAGCCAACAATCTAAACTAGGGGGCTTTAAGCCATACAAAAGAAATTAGGTAAAATCATTTCAATTTTATTTAATTGGAGAAAAAAATAAAGATTTTATTTTTTTTTGTACTGGCATGGAAAATTTTAATCAAACGAGTGGTGGATCTTTAAATTTTTAGTGTAAAAATGATTATATCATAAGCACAAAACTTGTTTATGAGCCTTGACAAATAAATGATTATCACATTAGATTTGAAGAAAAGTTTTAAGTCATGACTTAAAATTAGATCTTGCTCTTATTTGTATAGGCGGACCTTGCATTAGACCAATTGGCCAAAAAAGAGGGTACAGTTTTTATATGGTAAAACAGAAGACTAATTATAACAATAAAAAAGAGGCTTGGGTTCTAATATGGTAAAAAAGAAGGCAAATTATAAGGGGTTTTTTTTAATTTCAGTTTAAAAAACAAAAACAAAAACATTATTTTTGCCATCTATTTGTTTATATATATCCTTTGAGGGAACGGATCACGTTTTATGAAAAATATCAGATTAGCTGGGAGACCTACTCCATATCGAATTTCAACGATCCGAACCATTTATTTTGTAAATCTCGATTCAAGATCATCCTTGCAATTTGATAATCAAGGAAATTATCTACTCCATCCATCCAACTAGACCTACGCTATATTGTAGAGAAAGGTTTGACAATTCAATTCAACCAAAAACTATTTGCTTATTTAATTGTTACAATAAAATTTTAATATTTTTTAAAATATAATGTTCGTTAATTTCTTTAAACTCAATTAAATGTCTCAAATATTTTTAATTTGGCTAATATTTGTGCAAAGATGATCTTTGAAATGTATTTTAAAAAATAAAACAGTTCGAATCGTTGAAGTTTGATTGTATAGATCCCACAACTAATATCCGTATTTTAGAAAAAATGGGAAATCCACCCTCTAAAGCTCCCTCTGTGTGTGTATATATCTTGTCCACATAAAAACTCTTGGCCATCAAAGCTTGACTGGGTTTTTGCTTGCGTCATCTTCAACACGTTGCAAGTTGAACCAGCTAGTCTCGTTTAAAGTTGGAAAAAAAAGGGCAACAGCTGGCCTTGGCCGAAGCGATAAAAGGGAAGAAGATTGAACCATATAGCAATTGTCTAAAAGGAGGGCAAGCAACCACCACAAGCACCTCTCTTTGAAAAAATACCCTAATGAGAAAAATATTAATAACTTATTTTGATAAGCAAGTTCAACGTCATCATAAAACTAATAAATAATGCGAAGAATAATTTAACTCTTTATAAGAACATGTAAGATTTGGTAAGCTTCTAATATGGGACATTTCTTCACATCAGCGCTAATCTAAACCACATATTGAGACCAAAACTAATCTTCAAATTAAGTATATTTACTCTGTTGCATTCCTCTTTCAGTTCCTATTTTTATATTTTTCTTATTTATTCAAATCAAACTAGAAAAAAGTAATGGTGGAGTACATATCGAGAATAATATTGTAGTGCGAAAATTTACTTTTCTTACGTGATTTTAGGTTTCCATCGTAAAAATATTGAATAATTTGATCTTTTTGTGGGGAGAGCGGTGTAGAACAGATGACTGAAAGGATAATAGTTGGAATGTGTACTTGTATTTACGACAGCAAGGGCCAAATGTTACACATTTGGGTTCTAGTGTTCGATTTGGATTCATGACATGCTGTTTCAGAAAATGGCAAGGGGAACAAAATACATCGCTTAGCCTTGACGTAAGGCAGTTTTGGCCAAATTTCTTCATTTACTAATCTAAGACGGGGTTATAAGACCTTTTAGTTATTTTCTTATTTGTTTAATTTGTTTATTATTTTGTACTCTTAGAAAGTTTAGAGTTGAGAGACACTATACAATCAACCTCTAGAGTGCTAGGGTTGTTATTTTTCCATATATTCAATAAAAAGGTTGGAGACATTTCTCAATTCCTGATGAATTTCAAGTTGCTATGAATTCTAGCATGAGGTGCTAGGGTATATTGTTCGATTTCTTTGTTGTTTATCACGATGCCCCAAGGGTGAGTGAAGGAAAAGTGGGCATGTCAACGTACGTGGAGGGGCTCATCAAAAGGATTTTAACATACGCAACTCTTATTAAAAGAAACTCCCCCTTTAATAAAATCTTGTTAGATATCTTTAATCTTCACATTTCATGTGTGTCCCCCTCCTTGCCGTGGCCCAAAAAGTACAGTTCCACCACCACCACCACGAAGAAGACGTAGTGTTTGATTTCAACGGAGCTGGCGGCTTTGGTGGCGGGGGCCAATGCATGCAAAGGCAAAAAGATCACAAATGCAAAGTGTTCGGCTGTGAAGCTTTTGGAAAAGGAAGAGAGAAAAATTAATAAAGGAGTAACCTGAGGAAGAAGAAGACCATATCAAAATCATAGCAGCGTGCTGGCCACTAAAACCCTTATGCCACTTTTGACCAAACCACCTTTTTCATGAGATTCCCCAAACACAACCCAACCAACTCCATGGCCGTCCTAAGATTCTACGGCACCAAAAATAGATCGCGGCCTTTTTATAGTTTAGTTTAACCAACAATTAATTAATTAAATATTTAACACGTTTCAATTATATTAACATAAATACCCTTTTTTTGAGCTCTTAATTATTTTTAGCTGATCACATCATCCCCTAAAACTAATACACCAAACCAAACCACCCCATTTCAATTTTGGACCCACTCGCCAAAAAATTGAACGAAATTTAAATTCAGAAAAACCAAAAAACACAAGGTTGCTTAATTTTGTAGTACTTCTGTCTTAGTTGACTAATTGTAGGTTAAACACAGAGCTAGAGATAATGTTGCTGGCCAACTCTAGTCAAAGTTAGACCTAATTAGTAGCTTACAGGTTTTTTTGTTTTTTTTTTGCTTACACACACACCCACACACACATATATATGTATGTATATATGAACATTTGAATGGGACTCCACTCATTCTATACTAGCAAAACACCCATGGATTAATGGGAGTTGATTTGGTAACTAAAAATGGGACTTGCCGACAAGATGGTGAAAATTCAAAACCATAACCTATTTAATTTCCAATAAAAATCAAGAAAAAAAATCACAAATAATTAATAACAAGGTTGTCCATGAAAATTTAAATTAATTTACTTAATTCTATTCAAACCAAAGCACTATTATCTCTCTCCCTCCTTTTTCGAACACAGGTGCCATTCCATGCACGTGCCAGAAAAACCAAAACACGTGTGAAATATATGATCAATAGCCACCGTATCATCAAGGCCTCCAAGCACTAGCCCAAACCACCGGCTGGTCCTTCCACGACAAGAATATTCCGGCGATGGAATCTGTGCACTGTGTCATTGCCCAACCTTCCTTATACCTCCTCAACAAGGCGCGTACGTCATCACACACCTCATCACTAAACATCGCAGGACTAAACCCCGCCCCATGCATACGCCTCGACCAGCGAGTGGCGGTCTCGCGCCGCTCCACCGACTCCGAAGGTGCGCAGGCCACCAAATCCACTACCGCTCGCCCGGCGGCCCGCTCGAGTATCAACCGCTCGTTGCTGGTCCTGGAAAAGCTCTCGTCCAATGCCTCGAAGTAAACCCTAAACCATCTCAAGCACTCTTGAAACCCATGAACGAAGTCAAACCCGTCAACTCCAACGTCGAGATCAGCCTCTTCCTCAACAAGAGTAATGATCCTTGGCCTCAAGCTCCGAAACGCCGAAACAAGATAATCGCGGCGGTTTCCGATGGACTGAACCGAATGTAGAGTGCCGACGCAGTTGATTGCCAAGGCCTCATCGTCTCTGATATCCAATTCTGATAAATTCAGCTCTGAAAGATCGCCAGAGTGATGGACGGCGTTGAATTTGAAAGGCACGCCCATCAACCGGGCAAACTTTTCCATCCTCGCGCCAATTTCCTTCATTACTTTCTGCGCGGCTGCGCCACCAGAACCGTCGTTGGCTCTGTTAGCCACAACAGTGGTGAGACGCAAGTGCGGCGTCTCATCAGTTCGAGTGGCCAGCGCCTCGAGCAGAGTCGGCCATTGGGTGCAGTAAGTGTTGCTGATGTCGATTATGTGTAGCTTTGGCTCACCATCAAAAGCCTCCATGATCGCGCCATTGCACGCCACGTGTCCGAAAGTGGTCCAAGGGCTGACCTCCTGAAACTTGAGCACCGTTTTTCTTGTGGACTCGAAGGAACACGTCTTCTCCGAGGCGGAGATTAGGGTTCGGTAGCAACGGTCACCGGAGTCGGTCATGCGGCTGAACAAAGCCTGGAGGAAATAGGAGGCGAGTTTCTGGTCGGTGTCTCCGTACGGACTGCCGAGCTCGTTGAGCATCCACATGAGCTGCTGGACGCGGGAGCTGTTCTTGTCCGCGATGGCTCTGGCGGTCTCCAAGAGGAGTTCCGGGGCCCACTTGTCGTTGGAGAGCTCGAAGTTGACGAGGGAGGGGGAGAAGGAGAAGTCGGCTGGGGTGGGCGTGGTGGTGATGGTGGGGAGAGGGTTTGGGGTGGGAGGGGTTGGGTGGTTCGATGGGAAGTAGTGTTTGGAAGAAGACGAGGAGAAGTCTTCTTCATCCATGAAAAAGTTGAAGCATTCTTCTCC